GCTTATAATTATTTCCATCATCCTATAGTGCATTACGAGGATCCCAATTGAGTTGCATAAAATGAGCAATAAGCTGTAACTTCACCCAAAGAGACTTTTTAATGTTTTGTTTTTTTAAAATACAAAACTAATACCGTTAAAAACAAAAGAGACTAAGGTTCCTATCTAGATCACAGTTCTGATTTTTACATTTAATATGTGTCTGTTCAAAAACGATTGATGTACTCAGCAGCTTGTCCTATACAATTGCCCTACTCAGTATTACACAGCATGAACTGTAAATCTAATCTTTAAACATCATTAAAATTAAGAAGAACCCATGATTTAACTGTAGGATAACATGTTATGGCTACAAGTTATTAATTAATTATACAGACTTCAATATGGTTAGTCACAAAATTCCAAATGTGGCTGCTAACATTTATGATTTGGTATAACTTTTTAAATATATTTATATAATATTTACAGGGGTGACCGTTCAGAAATACCCATACTATTGGGCTGTCGTTCTTGTGCATATTTTTTATTCTACTTGTTTCTCTCAGCAAATGTGACTCTGATAATAACCTTGCAATTTTATTGTTTACCTCCTTCCCCACAATTTGTATATGCCAGTGGTATAACTCTGTCCCCTCTTAGTTCCCTGTATCAAATGATCACATGCTTCTTTGGCAGCCCCCAAGCAAATACCATCTCTCTGACACTGTGAGGTCTATTCAAGAAATGCCGAACAGCAAATGTACAGGAGCCAAAGGCTATTCAGTTATCATAATTCAGGTGTTTTAGCCTATTTGACAGTGGTGTATTTTGGTTTTGTGCTGCCCTAGGCATGACTAAACTCTGGCACCTCCTAATCTTAATTTGCCCCACCCCTTCCTGTCAAAGCTGCACCTCTTCCTGTTTAAGACCAACATGTATTTTGACAGATTGACACACACCCTCAATGAAACATACACTCACTGACAGACAGTCATTGGCACACACACTTTCACTATCAGACATACACTGACACATCCCATCACTGACAGGGACACACTCTGAGATATACATATCCTGACATACACTCACTGACAGGCACACGCTGACTTGCACACCTTCGCAAATTAGACTTTTGACAGACACACACTGGCACACACTCACAGAAATCCCTCATCTTTACTGAGTTGACACACTCTGACAGGCACACATACTCAATGAAAGAAACATGTACACACTCACTGACTGACACACACACATTCACTGACAGACACACACACACCTATACTAACACACACACACACACACACACATTTGCTCATATACTCATAAAATGTTTGTTTTTTTAAATTTAAGTCCACCCGTTCTCCCCACCTTTTTGGAGGTATGCAATCCTAAAGCTCCTCCCTACAAAAAAAAAACAATTATGCTTAAGTGACATCTTTTTTATATTTTGTGGCTGTGAAATTCAGTGTCTATTAGGCTGTAATTCGGTAGGGGTACCGTATATACTCGAGTATAAGCCGAGTTTTTCAGCACATTTTTTGTGCTGAAAAACCCCAACTCGGCTTATACTCGAGTCACTGTCTGTATTATGGCAATTTAGATTGCCATAATACAGACTGGGGGCTGGCAGAGCTGTTACTTACCTCTCCTGCAGCTCCTGTCAGCTCTCTCCTCCTCCGTGCCGGTCCGGTCAGCACCTCGATCAGCTCCCAGTGTAAGTCTCGCCAGAGCCGCGGGGTCATAGTGCGGCTCTCGCGAGACTTACAATGTGAGCTGAGAGAAGAGCTGCACGGACTGGCGCAGAGGAGGAGAGAGCTGACAGGAGCTGCAGGAGAGGTAAGTAACAGCTCTGCCAGCCCCCCTCCTCCCCCCACTGAACTGCCAATGCCACTGGACCACCAGGGAAGGAGAGCCCCCCTCCCTGCAATGTATCAAGCAGGGAGGGGGGACAACAAAATAAATAAATGAATAATATATAAATAATAATAATAAAAAATAATATAAAAAAAAATTTAAAATATTAATTAATAATATATAAATAATAATAATAATAATAATAATAATTAAAAAAATTAAAAAAAAATAATATAACAAAAAAAATTAAAATATATATTTTTTTTTTTTTATAAAAATGCCCACCCCCCCCACCAAGGCTCTGCCACACAAACACACACTGCATCACACATACACACACTGCATTTATGCACACACACACTGCACTCATACACACACACTGCACTCATACACACACACTGCATTTATGCACACACACTGCACTCATACACACACTGCATTTATGCACACACTGCACTCATACACACACACACACACTGCGCACTCATACACAAACACTGCACTCATACACACACTGCATTCATACACACACACTGCATTCATCATATACACACACTGTAAATAAATATTCAATTAATATAATTTTTTTTAGGATCTAATTTTATTTAGAAATTTACCAGTAGCTGCTGCATTTCCCACCCTAGTCTTATACTCGAGTCAATACGTTTTCCCAGTTTTTTGGGGTAAAATTAGGGGCCTCGGCTTATATTCGGGTCGGCTTATACTCGAGTATATACGGTATTTTAAATAGACTCTCAATACAGCAATGAGGTCCATTTGAAAATTGCAGGGATTTATTCAGAGGTGGACTGACCCGTGCTGTGAAGATTTCCCTCTGAGGAGAAGAGCTGTCACTGCTTTCCCCTTCCAGAGGTG